TTATGGATTCTCATGAATTCGAATAGAATTCCATTAAATCCATAAAAATCTCATTAAAATGGTGAAATTCCTATAGATTTCGTTATGTGTATTTTTAGAATTATAACAAGAAGCATGATGACATATGTGACACCAAGCCCTTGTTTGGTTTCCATTATTTTCAAAAAATATTTTTTTCTCTCTTATTTTCAACTATACATTTTTCAATAAAATAATATTACACTCAAATTCAAAAAAATTCCTTATTTTTTAATCATACATTGTCTATCAATCACTATTTCAAAATACATTTTTGAAAAGGAAAAAAATGGGTCTCAAATATGCTCTAAATGAGAGATACAATTAGGGTTGTCAATAGATTTGATTTTGATCCGAATCTGATCAAAATTCGATGAAATTAATGGGAGATGGATTTATGGTCTTAGTCCGATAACTCGATCAAGGTCGGAATCCAATAATGTATTAACAAAATGGATCAAATATAGATATAGGTCAACCCGATCTGATAATAAACCGATCTGATTTATTACAAAAAAAGTAAAAAAAATATTTTTTTATTTAAATATTATTTTAAATATTTAATCAATCTAAAAATTATTTAATAATAGATACATATTATATTACCAAATGCAGTTTTAAGAATATAACAAAATAAATATATTCTATAAACAAAATATAAATAATAACGTTAATTGAAATATTTGGAGAGTTTTAAATTTTTATTCATTAGTAAAAGATAGGAAAAACAATCAATTTAATAAAATATAAATAACTCTTTATATAATAGTATAATAACACTAACAAACCAAATGCACGATGCACTATAGCCAAACCAAAAGGTACAATATATTACAACCAAACAAAATGGATTCTTATCCCACATTGAAAGTTTATAACAAAATGTCTGGAGATATCCTCTATAAATAAGTAAGTCAGTAAACGGATAAACAACTTTTTGTGTATTTCAATCCAATTGGCTAAAAGTTTAAAAAGTTGAAAATTTTATAATTATTAAATCCGTTTAAAGAATTGGAAAAATGGGAAAAAATTAAAAAAAAGTTAATTTCAACAATGATTTTATTTTCCTAATTTCTTTAATTTCGAATCGGATATTCGATAATATAACAAATCGGATATGAATTTAACAATCAAATATCCATTAGATTATCGGATCGGATCGAATAATTATTCTTATCGAATCGGATATAGACAAATCCAATCTATATCCGATCATTTATAGCACTCGATACAATTAAACGAGTAACATAGTTTTACATTTTATTGAGCATATCACATAGAGCCACATTGATTGGATCGTAGCATTAGTGATGAAAGATAACATTTTTCGTATTTAAAGCTTGAAATCCTTACAATGAATGATTTGCTTATAAATCCATGAGCGACTGTAAACGGTATTATTCAAATATGATCCATTATAGGGATACCTAGGTTATAATAATTCTAGTAAATCTTAACTGAGAACACATAAATTTTAATTTTTAAATCTCAATTAGAAACACTTGAATTTGTAAACTTTTAAAATTTATTGAAATTTCAATTGAGAAAGGTAGGTAAAGTGTCGTAATTTCTCCTTATATAAGCTATTTCTATTAATACTAGGTGTAAGCAATGTGCAATGCACGTTTGCCTAGTTTATATTTAATAGTTTTTTTAAAGAATTAATTTGTTATTAATAAAGATGTAATTTTTTTGGTTACTTAAATAATTAATAATGTAATGTTCATGTAATTGATAAATAATTAGATGTGTGATTTTGATGTTGTGATGTAAGTTGGTGAGATCGAAGAAAATAAGCAAAAGTTGACAAATTTGGAGAAATGGCTAAATTGTAAGGGATCCAAAGTTCGGGGACTAAAATGTAAATACTTAAAAGTTGTGCCGAACCTCACGATGAAGATTTGAGAGTGCTCGGAGTCAATTGGATAAAGGAAGACGTCAATGGAATCAAATTTAGTCAAAAGATGATCACAAATCAATTTCCAACCGAAAAGTTATGCTCCGATGTTTTAGTCTCATATTGAGACCTATTTTTGGCATAGAAAGTGATCGAATTGGAGAATGATGTCTGAATCAAAGTTGTAGCCAGATGAGTTAGCTTTCCAACGCATTTTGAATCGCCTCAATCGGATATCGGAATACAAAGTTATGATAAAAACACTGAAAGAAGGTGCAACTGCCTGTTTAAAACAAGAAATTCCGTTACATAGTTCGTTAAAACAACAAATTCCGTTAGTTTTTCCGTTAAAAACAAGAAATTCCGTTACATAGCCACATTTAATATTAATTAATAATATATGGCAAGCAAGTCCCGTTTGGGCTCCATTTTTTTAAAAGCATTTTTTTTTCAAAACTCATTTTTAATTGCACATTTTTCTTATAAAATAATTTTACACATAAATTAAAATATTTTCCTTATTTTTTAATCATATACTATTCAGAAAATCACTATCTCAAAACACATTTTCACTTCAAAAATAAAACTAAAAAAAGGAGCCAAGTTAACGAGCAATATCAATTTCAAAAACCTCTCGTATGTGATTGAAAAATTGTGGATTTCATGAAATGCATAATTAAAATTAATTGTTAATTTTGACTTAAATTTTAGTTTTAATCCAAACTAAACAGGGGCTTAATTTTGAAAAACAAAATTGAAAAATACAAAAAATCCAAAACTAATAGAAATCACGGAGGGTATAATCGCCATTTCACTTCCAGCATATGCCTTTGGAGTTTGGGGACATAATGTATTCCGCCTGCCTGTAATTAAAGAATATCCTCCACAACAGTCGTTACAATTGCCAGAAAGAAAAAAACTTTTTCTTTTTCTTGAAAATAATTAATTATTACAAAAAAGGCCGTAGTGAATCCAAATTCTTAAATAATCTTAAAATCCCCAAATCTTCAATCTCTCTTCCTTTGACTACCGTACCATTATACACATCACCGCCTTTTTGCCGCTGCGGCGGTGCTGCCAGAGAGAGAGAGACCCAAAAAAAAAAAGCAGACCTTTCTCTTTCTTTCCCTCGCTTTTTTGCTCTAATTCACATTAATATATGAGCATAAAACACTCACTTTTATACTTAGATTATAGATATAGACACCTGTATGTATATGTATACAGAGAGAGAGATAGTTATATATAGAGAGAGTGAGAGTTATCTTTTAGTTTCAGGCTTTCAGCTATTATTACTTTCTTCTTAGATAACTGATAGCACTTTCTTTCTCTCTCTGTATGTATATCTGCGTCTGATCCGGCGGTTGAGATTGTTTAATCATCTAATCTTGTGGCTGGGGATCGATTGTCAGCCTTTCTCTACGTAAGTTGAAGCAAAACAAATTCCATACACCTCGCCTTTGCCTTTTGAAACCCACATCGCTCTTTTTCTCTCTACAAATCATTTCTTTATAATCTGTCTTTATTTGTGCACACCAGAGATAAATATACCTATATAGTTTATAATGTATATATACATATGTTAAAAGTGTGTGTATGTGCTGGTTATAAATTACATACTCGTATTTTGTAGGGCTCTCGCTATTCACAAAGATTTTTATTGGGTTTGGCTTTCTTTTCCGTATTCTGGGAATCTGCGATTTTTCGCATGCAGTGCACGTTATTTGGTGTGTTTTGAATTCTGGGTCAGCGCAATTTTCTCAAATTCATCGGCTTTTCAATTGGGAAAGGACTTTAAAGTTCTAGAATTTTTTTTGTTTGCATGCTAAGACAAAGATTTTTCGAATTTAATGGCTTTTTATTAATTTAATGGCTGATGGTGACCTCAATCTTATTATTGCAGTTGATTTTATTTTTTAAAAAATTGTACTCAGATATATATACTTTTTTGCAGATTTTTTAAATCTGGGCTACTGTTTCTACAGTGTTTTCACTGTTGGGCATTAGTGAAACGCTAATTAGGGTTTATAAAGCTGTAAGTGCTTGAAATGCTGTGTCGGACCATTGTTATTCTATGCGACTTTCTTGAAATTAAAAAGCAAAAATATTGATCAAACATAGAAACTTCTCTATTTTTCAGCCACACGATTAACAGTTACTACTGATTTTCTTCAAGTATTTCCACATTTTTTTATAAGGGAATTATTTGGAAGCATTTGGGTTCAATCCTTTTGTTTTGTTGTGTGATCTTTTTTGTCTTCCTTAACTATGAGGTAGTATCAATTACATAGTAAACTACAGGAAAGCTCCAGAAACAATTAGAACTCTCCAAAGTTAGTGTAGAGTCATTTGATGTGTAATTTTTAATGCATATTACCAAGCAAAAGTTAAGAAATGTTTGTCCTTGGCTAATTGATGTATCGATGCTGGTTAACTTGTTTGAGTACCTTTGAGTTACACCATAACTTATTTTCAATTGGTTGAGTTTTTTTTTACCACGTAGTATCTGAGAAGATGTTGGGTTGTGGTTATGGTACTTTCGGATGACTAGATTCTACAGTTATTTTTTCCTTTTTCCATAGAAGGTAGATTAGATACCATGAAATTATTGTTATTGGACTTGAAGTTCATAGTGACAAACTTATTTGGGGCCTTACAAGGTGATAATGATGCTCGTCATGTGCCTTTACTTTGGCTGGTCTTTATGGATAATGCTTTACTGCTTTACACAAGGAGAGAGTTTGTTGTAGTGCTATTCAACACAACGATTTTTAGCAAAAAGAATCTTTTTAATTTTGGTTGGTCACCATGGATAATCTCTCTACTGCATTTCTGGTCCAGGGTATAAAATAAATGCATTGCTTTCCAGCCACCAACATTTTACCTTCCTTTAGTGATGTTGACTAACAATAATGACATATATATTGACTTTGTTTCTTGTTACTGATAGTTTTACCTTCTTTCTGGAGAGCATATATTTTCAGTCCTTTCTTTTCTAAATGATACCATATTACAATCCTTAGAAGTATCATTTTTCAATCTCTTGATCTGCAGTGAGGAAGCTGAATCTAGTAGATTTTAGGCTATGGAACTTAATGTGCATAGAAGAGCTAGACGGAAGGATCCTGTCACTCATCAAAATGGTGATGTGAACGCATTAGATGTTGAAGAGGACCTTGATCCCTGGACTGCCTGGGCATATAAGCCTCGTACAATTACATTATTACTTATTGGTGCATGTTTTCTGATGTAAGTCGTTTAGTCTCGAGCAACTTGTTTCTGTATTGCAGTTTAAATGATTTTATGACTGTTCACTAAAGGACCAATTCTATTCTGCCCTATACTGTGAGAAATTTTCCTATTGTTTTGTGGACTTGATTACTTTTGTTCATTCTTTCAACATTTCTGACATTCATAAATATTCATTTTATTCTGAAAATCATAAACGACACGAAGCTGTAACATGTGGCATCAGTGTTGAAAGATTTAGCCTCATTTACTAATCTTCCGTATCCTGACATTCTTCCTAGTTGGGCAAGTGGTGCACTTGATCCTGAACCCAATTCAACTAGTAATCTGGTTACTTCTGTGAAAAGGTGCACACATGCTTATTCATGTGTTACATGCCTTCTTTTAATTGTTTGTGCATTTATTTTTCATAAAAATTCTAATGGCTGTTTATTGCATCTGATAGAGGTATATGGGCAATGATTGCCATGTTTCTTGCTTACTGCTTGTTGCAAGCTCCTTCTACGTAAGTTATTTTCTTTCTTACCTTCTCTCGGAACAAGTCATATTTTTTTGGCCTCCGAGGCCCCTTTTTTATGTTATTGCTGCTAAGTTCTGTTGATTTGAGATGATGAGTTCTTATGTTTTTAGATACATAAAATTGAAAGGAAGACACGTTCTCTAAGCTTAGCTCATTGCAGAACTCAACAGATTGAGGCCTTGTCCTACACTTATCCAGTCTGTCTAGCTAATTATCAGATGCCAAGATTTTGCATTTGAATGTATACAATTTTTATTCAATGCTTAGCAATAGAATTGTAAGTAGCCGGAGCATCTGTGATGCATATACTCATCCAGAACCAAATATGGACATGTTTGAGAATTCATTCTATGTGAGGTTCAGAAATTAATAGGATATGAGGACAGCTGAGATAAATGTCGAAATATTATTATCCTGTGGGTTTTTTAGCAGCTGAGATTAATGGATGTTCTTGGAAAGAGAGACGTTCCCAGTATTTTCTTTCTGTTCCTTATTGTTGTAACTGAGTATCCATTTCTACGTATATGGTCTTTCGTTCTAGCTATAAGTCTTTTTTCATCAATACAACATTACAATAAGCTGAGCCTCATTCCCTATAAATTTGGAGTCAGCTATGTGAATGCTTTGGTGATTATGTGTAGTTCATTTCTACTTCTATTTGAAGATCCAAGTCGAATATTTTTCTTATCATTAAAGAAAAAATGGAGGTCCAAGAGCGTCTTTTCATATTTTCATTCATTAAATTACCTTCAGTTGGCCCTGATTCCAAATAAAGATAACCTGGGTTGGTGCTCATTGTCACCAGTTCTTGCCTTTTGTTTCTAGTTCGTTTGTTGCTAGCAACCCAAAATGGAATAGCTGTCCCTGCCTTTTGCTTTAAAGGTGTCACAAAATAATCCCAAATAGATTTAGGCTTTTAGCAGCTTCGAGGATAATAGTTGTGGTTACAGCTAAGATTATGCTAGGAACACATTACTATATGTAAACTTCGTCTCTCATCACGCAGGAGCAATAATGGGGATGAAGTTAGATTTGTGCAACTCTTTCATTATTTCATGCTTGAAGTTTCCTATCGACCTGCTTAGCCGTTTATGTGTTTTCATTTATCTTTACTTAAGGTTTTGCTCATACATTTGTGCGCAGGGTACTTATCAGGCCACATCCTGCAATTTGGCGCCTGGTTCATGGATTGGCTGTTATTTACCTTGTTGCATTGACATTTTTGCTATTTCAGGTCAGTTTCCTTTTTGAGGTTTTCCTCTTTGGATTGTGAAGTATTATTAATGTTTAGAGGATTCAATTGATGGTACAATCTCTTTCTCTTTCCCTTAATAAATGAAAAAAATTCTAAAAGTTAAATTGAAGCCATAAATTTAGCATTCTGGTGTCGTGACAAGGTTAGAGTTACTATACAGGATTTCCTAGTGGAATAATTGAGAGATTTTTTGAGTGATCACTGCTTTGCTTATGATATGAAGTGGGTACCATAGAATATATACATATATATATAAAATTGAAAAATTAGCTGTGATTGTTGACTTTTATTAGACGAGTGAGACTCAATAACGGCTATATTTTTAATTTTAATTAGATTTTAATTTCTACCGAACACGCCCTATATATTCTATGGAACTGATTTTGGGATAATCATCAGTTCTTTTATGAATTCTACTTCATGATAAATCATAACCGTTTGTTAGTTATTGGTTAATTGCCATGACCAGTGGATGTTGATGAAGTTGTTATTTTCACTTCAATTTCCAGAGGCGTGATCATGCTCAGCAGTTCATGAAATACCTGCATCCCGATCTTGGCGTTGGTAAGAAACTTGGACTTTCTGATTGTTCAACCAATTGGTGGCAATGCACGATGTTTGTCCTAGGGAAATTATCACTTGTTTTAGATAATTGGGATCATAACTGGTATTTTTGTGATGTAGAACTTCCTGAAAGATCATATGGTGCTGATTGCCGAATTTATGTATCTGAAAGTCCTACAAACAGGTTTAAGAATGTTTATGTACGATTTCTACTTTCACAAACCCTTTCCTTGTTATTTTTATTTTTTCTTCAATTATTTCACGTTTCCATGATCTATGTTCTTAATAAATGTGCCACTGGAGCTGAATTCCTCTACGATTATTTCGATTTTTAGGAGACACTTTTCGATGAGTTTGTTATCGCTCATATTCTTGGTTGGTGGGGAAAAGCTATAATGATACGTAATCAGCCACTCTTGTGGGTACTGTCAATTGGATTTGAGTTGATGGAGGTCAGTCTTTATGAAGTTCCTCGTTCTTGTTTTCTTTTTTGTTGACCCGTGATTGGTTTAAGCTAATCTATCTTTTATACATTAAAGTGATTTTTATACTTGTGTTTTCAGCTGACCTTTCGCCACATGTTACCTAACTTCAATGAATGCTGGTGGGATAGCATTATCCTTGATATATTAATCTGCAATTGGTTCGGTGAGCATTTTGACCCTTTTCTTCTTTTTACAAGGCATGCTATCTTCATTATGGTTGTTTTGTTGTCATGGACTATAAACTAATACTTCATTCCAATGGTCATTTCCAATGCCGATATTTGTCTAAATCTGATTTCCTAATAATTGTGGGCTCACTGTCCTGGATTGGTACTGTGTGTCAAAGAATGCGTTACCCTTGGCATGGGCTGTTTAACAGTTTCTGTTGTCATGAATGTGTCCATTATTGAACATGAATGATCAACACATCTTTTCCTTTAATGTCTGCAACTTGTGTTGAGTGAATACATTACATGAGGCAGTTATTTTCTATTAATATTTTACCGAAAATTTAAATTCCCTTTGCTGTTTTTGGGTGTTCCTCTATGGGGAAGAAACCATCTTTTTTTGTAAGTGAATGTTGAGCAATTACTATACCTGAGGCAGTGCTAAGTTGACACTTTCCTTTAACAAAGATAGTTAATTGTATGCCTCTCTATGTGATGAGTAAGGTATAAGAGAACTGTAGAGGAATATTTCAACTAGGATCCGACAAAATGGAAGAAAAGCATTATAATTTTGAGTTATATTGTTCACTTACTAGAAGCTTTTGCATTCCTTTTCATTTTAGTTCACCAATTAATGCACAGGAATAATTCTTCAGCCTTTTCAGGCTAGTATAATTTTTCTGCCTTGTTGGTTCTGCTGCAAATATCAAATATGGTTAGCTGGGCCTCTTTTTAACGTAGCCTCCCAGTGTCGAAGTCCTATCTCAGCTTTGATGCTTCCTTCAGATTATTTTCTTGTGATAGAAGTGTTTCTGTAATTCCTTTTGTTATCTAGTTCCTGAGAGTCCCAACATGATCTGGATGCCTTAATTTGGGGAAGAATGATTTTAATATACATATGCATCCAAAGGGGTTAATGCTCTTTTACCATTAAAATGAACTCGTCATTTATGAAATGTTGAATGACCTGCATCTCTAGGTGCCTTATGTTGGATGTCATCAAACATTCTGATTTTGTCGACCCAATCATTCTTGTAATGTCCACTAAAGTTGGAAACCATGGGTTAACCCAATAAGGTTTTCGGTTCTCTCAGTGATTTCATTGGAACAGAGTACTTCATAACAATTCCGCATCAAAACGTACATAATAAATTTGTATTATTTGGTTGCAATGAGGCTTATGAACTCCCTAGATTTGGCACAGAAATAAGATTTAGAAAGTTTATGCAGTAACCCTACTGCCTGACAGCTGACGCTGCATGTTTTCATGACTTTCTTGGTCAAAAACCTTATTTTATTTTTTGGGGCTTGGGGGTGGATTTCTGGTTCATTATACACACTGAGATTGTAAACAATAAATCTCTGAGATAATACTTACTGATCAAGAGAATAAGTATGAAAAATCAAATGAAGAACCATTAAGATTTTAAGTTAGTATACAATTTGAACGTCACATGGTGTAGATCATTAGACAATAGCAACATATTAAGTTAGAACTTGTGTTAAAAAAACATTCTTCTGATGTGCAAACTATACATGTTCACCCTTATGTTTACTTATCAGTTATCATTACCTTTTTTGTCTCCATCTAGCAAAACACAGTTCACTACCCAATAACGCATCCTTTTATTATCCTCAAACCTATCAGTTCTTACCAACCGAATCTCTTTGACAACATGAAGAAACCAAAGCTCCCCCACCTCTCTATCCGTCCAAGGAATGAATTGGCAGAGGCCTATGGTGTCCCCCTGTTCAAGAAATGGGACCTCACAGTCACGATAGTCTTACATAGTGTACTTCACCTGGATGAAGTGTTAAAATCTTTGTTTGAAGTAAAACCTTTAAGTTGACTGCTTAAAGGAACTTTAAATAATATGGTGGTGCACCATCTTAACTTGTCTGAGAATTTCTGGCTTCGCTTGCATTTTTTTGAAATTCTGGGTTCAAAAGCCATATGGATGTAATAGGTAGTAGTTACTTGTCCATTATCAATGATCATGAAAAAATAGTGGAGTAAATTAATGTGGACAAAAACAAATTAAGTGCCACTTGGCCATGGTAGAGCAATTTTGACGTCATTCTTTTATATGATTATGTGTTAGGTAGTTTCCACCAAATGCATTCCAAAGGTTACTTGTAAGTTTACCTCACCATACTTGCGTATATATGTCATTGTGGTATTACACTAATATACTATTTTATGAAGAATCGTGGATGCACCATGTCGGATGCTAATCTGTTTTCTGAAGAATGGATTGATGATTTGCCATAAGAACCTACTTCCGAGGCATTCAAATAGAATGTGATATGTTTTCTCGTTGCTCTTTAGGTATTTGGGCAGGAATGCGTACAGTTCGGTACTTCGACGGGAAAACTTATGAGTGGGTTGGTATCAGCAGGCAGCCAAACATCATAGGCAAAGTATGTTTATTGCCAACATTTTCTTTTCATGTTCTTTAAATACTGGCTGTGTCAAATGTGTTTTGAGTTTTGGGTTTTAGATTACAAAGGAGTGATTGCTTATATTGGGGCCCCATAAGATCAATAATTGCTGATTATGATCTGTGCAAACCAGGCACTTATAGCGTCTTTCTCCATCTACCGTTCAGGTCAAAAGAACACTGGGACAATTTACACCTGCACGGTGGGACAAAGATGAATGGCACCCTCTTCTTGGACCATTGCGATTTATTCAAGTTCTCAGCCTTTGTATTGTTTTCATGACTGTGGAACTTAATACATTCTTCATGAAATTTTGTCTTTGGATTCCTCCTCGAAATCCCATCATAGCATATAGGTTAATTATGTGGTGGCTTATTGCAATACCAACTATTCGTGAATACAATTCTTACCTACAAGACAGGTATCTTTCGAATTTTGATTCTCCATATGATGTGCTGATATTGATATTCTTATAAGATAATCTTCTCATTCTCTCCTTTTTGCTTGATTACTGCTTATGATTTTCAGAAAACCAGTGAAAAAGGTGGGAGCTTTTTGTTGGCTTTCTCTGGCTATCTGCATTGTGGAACTCCTCATTTGTATCAAGTTTGGACATGGTGTGTTTTTTTGTTTTTTATTTTATTTTTTTCCGTAGAAAGTTTGGATATTGCTAAATCAATGTTTTTGAATTATTAAATTTATTCTTCTTTGACTTATTTAATTGTGTTTCAGGTTTGTTTCCTAATTCCATGCCCAAGTGGTTGGTGATTTTCTGGACCTCTGTTGGGATTGGATTTGTGATAATCTTGGCTTCATGGTCTTGGCATTTGCACAGATCAACGCAGAGAAAGCGCCAATAAGTTCATTTTTATGCCTTCACTATTCTTTCGATTCCTCTATGTTTTCTGGGTAGCCAACCTTTTTGTAAATACTCACCAAATCTAACTGTAAATGTTTACTCTTTTAGGTTAGCTAATACAAATTGATTCTTGTAGAGATTGTCAATTCTTTTTACCTTTTTTTCCCCTGTTAGACGTAGATGCAATTGAGGTGAAAATGTTTTGGAGCATGGCTTGTTTAAAGCATTATCATAAGTTGCTTCTTAAATGCAAAGCTTTTTGCTTCGAGGTTATTCCCTGGTTCATCTTCAATTGAATATACGATGTGGTGTTGTGCGGTAAACAACTTGCTTTAATCATTATGATTATGATGATAGTTGAAAATAAGTCCATACAAATCGAAGATCATTTTGATGATGTGGTCATGCTTTTGCAAAGCGTAATTACCTATGTTTCGAGATATCAAAGTAGCAAGAAAAACTCTTCACACAAAGCTATTATAAGTCATTTTCTTTCATCAAAGATGTGATGGTGACCTTAGTTGCATTGTTTAAATGGTGACAAGCATGGAATTTTGCCTAGTATATTTCCAAAGTTTAGCATAGCTTGCTTCAAATTTTCCTCAGTTTCATCGAATCCCTTCTGTCATTTATCCATATGAGTTGAAATACATTTCAGTTTTTAAATCATAAGCGGTATATTGTCCTATGTCAGCTAGTGAATACTAATCAAATATATGATTAAAGATAAATAAAATTGTTCCTCATCATTAACGTAGCTTAATTCAAATTTTCCTCAGTTTCATCGAATCCCTTGTGTCATTCATCCATATAAGCTGAAATACATTTCAGTTTTTTAATCATAAGCAGTATATTAATGATTAGGAACAATTATTTATCTTTAATCATATATTTGATTAGTATTCACTTGATGACATAGGGCAATGCATCTAATTTTTTTTTTCTAGGCTTCTAACTATACAAATGGAATATATCCTTATTCCAAAAATCGCCATAATATCCATGATTTTCGAATGCATTTCCTCCATGTCGGTCCGAGGACACCAAATAATATATTTCTTTGAGCTTTTTATCCTAGGACTGGCTTTCGGATTTTTTAATTTATTTTTTCCTAAAAGTTTCTAGGGAGCGAATGGTGCGGCAATGAGCTTTTTCTTCCATGCAGTTTTTCCTCTCACAATTTCTTCATTTCTTGAGTCTCCTTTTATCTGAAGGAGATGAGTGTAGCTAAATGGCCCCTGATTTAAAGATCCCAGTAATCCATTTCCCTCAAGAATTCCTGATGAAAATGAATATCCATTCAAACAATTGTAATTATTTTGTTGAATTCCAGCATTTATCAGTTCAATTTGCCGAGGCTCACAAAGGGATTGAACTACATCTGAACTCCCACATTCTCTTCTGTATTCCAATATAATGTTAGAGAGCTGGTGATTCTCCAGAAATTCATCTGGAATTGCCTGAAAAGTTCATTAAAAATTCAAGATTTAGTTATCCCAATTCGTTATTCGACCAACTGAAGATCACTGGACAGTTATTTCATGTTTACCTCGAGCATCCATCGAACATACTTGACATTGTTTACATGTTGGTTCATGTCCAAATCACTTCTCTTTGGCTGCAAATGACAAGGCTGCAGTATATCAGTGAAATCATTCGTTATAAATAAGAACTTGCTAAGTTTATCGCGATAAATTTCACCTTCAAGTCTGAGTTCACGTAATGCGCTTTATCATCCAACTTTTCTATTTTTTCAGGGCTTTCTTCTTTGATTGCTTGTTTCTCAATGAACCATGGTGAAAGTTCAGACCTTACCTCGTCTGGCATTTTTGACAGGCGCCGAGTTTGCTGGTTCATCATCACCCACGTACTGTTCCAGAACTTAATCCTTGTTAAAAATGAGAGTAATTTCATAGTTTTATCATAACAGATTATTGGGCAGTCGAGATTCAACCTCGTTGCACGTGCAAAAATGATGCCTGCGGCTTGACTTCGGAGTAGCCAGTCTCTCCTCATTCCATTTTTCCCTGATGCTCCAACCCAAGTGTCTATCTCCATTACTTCACCCCTATCGACATGACTAATTGGTTGTGAAACAGATTTTGAATGTCAATTATTTTTACGTTAAGTTCGTATTCTATTTCCAGTATTTCTGAGAAATACATTGCTATTTTGTCCTTTGAATATATAGGTTAATATAAAGTTGACTAGTTGAGTACCAGATTGGATAATGATCAACTTGAACTTGCATTCTTGAAACAACCCAAATGAGATTATTTCTCATCATTCCATGAGTAGCTCCAAATCCATCACCAAGAAGCCCTGACATCCACACATGATTCAATGCTGTTTCCTGAACATATTTCCAAATAAAATGCCTTAAAACTTCTGCATGGAAAATAGAACAGAATTCCTGAAAATTTGAAAACTGGAAATTCATCACCTGAAGCAGGTTGAGAATGCTCTCAATTGTTGCAGTTTTATCAGGTCCAACTTCATAAGACCTTATAACAACGGTCTGCCTGTATCCGACTCCCTCCTCGATGATAATCCCTTGGCGAAAAGGATCCACTAACTGCTTCTTCGTAGGAATATTTTGTCGATACTGCTCTTTGGGGATATAGACATTTGCTTCAGAATCAACAGAAGTGAGAGCCAGTCCACTATTTTGGCTCAACAAATCCACTTTCGAAGGTGAAAAACTCTTAGTCCCATTGATTTTCACACAGTTAAGTTTCTGTTTGTTCTTCTTGCCTTTTGTGTTGATCAAGCACAGCGTGTAAAAAGCCAGATGGAAGGAGACAGATGCCATTCTCTGTAAAGGGTGTAAAAGGTTGAAATTGTGCTTAGGCTAATCAGATGGTTTTATAGCCATTTAGTGGCGGAGAGGACTAAAATAAACAAGATTTTAAAGGAACAGAATAGGGAACTTTGTTCTAAATTTGAACATTTCAAAGGGAATTTGATGCTTATAGATTGATGGTTCCCCAAGGGTGGATGTGAGCTGTGGGATCCTGCTTAGCAGCAATCGACAGATTGAAAATGACAAAAATACAATTGTAGAAGAAGCCTCTTTTTTCCAATATATAGATAGGCTTGGAATTTTCGATCAGACAAAGGTTTTGTTCTTTGGTATAAGTGTGAGTGCTGACATGTTGTATTGTCTGAATTGTAAAGTTAAGAGGTTTTGCACGAGGAATTGGGGCTTTCACTAAAAAATTCACAAAAATCTATGCGTTTGATTGCAAGTATGGAACTTGCATGAAAATAAAATAAATTCTAAACAATTTAATTACCTAGAACTTACGTGTGAAAATTATTAATTAATGTGTTTGATTGATTTAGTTTTCAACAAATATTATACTTGTCCATTTTTATTGTTGGGTAGATGATAGAAAGTGAATTACTTGAAAAATAAATATTTTTCATGGAAAAAATTATTTAATCAAACACCCAAAAAGTAGAAATTTGGGTGAAAAAATAATATTTTTCATGGAAAATAAAGTCAATCAAGTACACTATTCATGGAAAAACTCGTGTTCATGGAATTACAGTCATGTACAGCGCTACTAAATTACTTAAAAATTATGACTGGAAATTGAATAGCAGCCACTTGATCGTGCTGCTGCCAGTTGCCAGACTCAAACGATTGTTTACCAAAAATACAAATCTCTACAAAGTCGTAATACCATGTGTAACTCTAAATTCTCAAGTTAGGTTGGATTTGAACCATCGACATTGAGTCTTTCTTAATACTCACCCCAGAAGAAATTTCCTATTCTCAAGTCTTTCGAGGTTTCCGTTTTTGCTGCAATTGTATCAGTTGAGGGTAGCAAATAAAAGGCAGATGGAAACAGAGGCAACAAAACAAAAGGACAACAAAATTTAATTTGGTTTTCTTTCTTTTCTTTTCTGTTATCAATTCATGTTTAATATAAGTCCATACTCTGGGAGCCTAACCAAAAATTGGGCAATTAAGGTCAACTTTTTAAGAAAAGATTCACCCCCTCAAACTGGATGAAGTGAAGAAATAAAAATAACCAAAATCCAAGCTAGTGTATAAATCTTGGCACATGTTACTTACACTCAAAATAGGTATTACAGTTCGAAATTTTTTCTCTCTTTCCAACTTTGAATAAATTTGCATAGGTATGTCATCATCTTTCTTTCAAATATATGAAATGAAAGTAATTAAGGATCCGTTTGATTGCATGGGTGGAAAGTGGGTGAAAAGAAAATGAATTCCAAGGAAAATAATTGCCTAGAAATTGTTTTCCCGAGAATTGTTAATTAAATATGTTTGATTGGTATAATTTTCCACCCGAAAAATTTTAAAATTTTGGATCTTTTTGTTCACGTTTAGCTTTATTTTATATGGAAAT